TCTCCAGCCTCTTTCTTTTTCTCTGACCTACACTCTGGTCCCCATATGAGGTGTCAGTGTGTGTACCAGTGTGTGTGCCTATTGGGGTGCTGAGAGGAAATGTTCTCACATGAGAAAGGTAAGCAGGGTTCCCCATGTTCTTGAGAGTTCTACTCTCACAGGACATTCATGGCAGTTGACTGAGTCCTGATGTAGAAGGTCAGGACCCTGCCTTCTCCTCTGGAGTCTGTCCTCTACCCTGGGCCAGTATGTGCTTGTCACTGGGCCTTTGTTTTTCAAGAGTCCAACTAAATGTTAGAGTGTAACTAACACAGAGGACATTCTGGTAGCTGCTGCATAGTTCTCCAGGCTGGGTGGGGTTGGGTAGGGAGGTTCTTCAGGGTTCCATATTATTGTCTTCCCAGGATGGATGCAGTAGAACCCTGCTTGGTGCAGCTCGGCCTTGTGTTCATATGGTGTGTGCTGCCTGTGGCCTGTGCATGGAAACAGTGCCACAGAGCACTTGCCCAAGGCTTCATCATTTCTGAAGTGTGAGCCCCTCTTTGTCTTATGTCCACAGTGCCAGAATGTTTAATCAGCCTCTCTTAGCCTCATGAATGTGGAGGGAGGGTTGGCTCCCCAAAGCAAATGTGAGGTGCTCTATTAGAATGGGTTTGGATGGAAGCCAGGTAAAGGCACCAGATCCTCAGAAACATTCGTGGCATCCCCAGCCCTGCCTCCTGATCAGTCAGGAATGTGTATTTCCCAGAGGAGGGAAGGGTTTGCTTTGAGTTCACACAGTGATTCAAGGAAAAGTTGGGGCCTGAGTTGGGATTAGAGTTATCCCCACACAAGAATTTCTACAACTCCCAGCATCGTAGGAGCACAGATGGTGCTAAATAATGACCTGGACTGCATCTATGCAGTCACCTCACTATCTTTCTGTCTCAGCCTCTCTGGACCTGGTTTCCAACCCTGAGTCTGTCCCTGGACCCAGATGTTGCATTTCAGAGGGTTGGAGGGGGAAAGGGAAGGACAGAGTGCCACACAGCTCTGTTGGCTTCACTCAATCTGTTCACCAAGTCCCCACATTTCTTCTGCTCACATCTGGTCCGCTTGAGCTGTGGTCACTCTTGGCTTCAAAGAGGTGAGGAATGACAGCCTTTTAGTTTCATAAAGTGCTTGCCCTATAAACCATGTCTTTGTCCTGCAGCAATAGACAAAGTGAAAAGCATGTGTTTAAGAGCAGAAGCTTTCCTTCCTAAACCCCAAGATGAAGGGGAGGAGGTGGAGTTTTTCAGGGGTGCTGGGCACTGGTTTTTTGTTACCAAACCAGGCCTGTCATGCCTTCTCACAGTATGCCCTTCCTAGAGTCAAAGCATTTTGCAAATGAAAAATAACTTTTTTTTTTTTTACAAGGCAGCCAAGTATGAACATGGGAGTCTCAAATGTCAAATCTGCCTCCCTGAGGCTGGGCTTCAGGGTCATTTATGGGATGAAGGAGTAGGTGGTGGTGATTGGAGATGAAGCAGTCATGCAGTGTAGACTGCATGCACAGTCTACACTGATGGCTCTTCATGAGTCATATTTTTGGAACAGGGAGGTGTCAGCTTGAGGTGAGGGTGGAGTTTTTAGGCTTCTGACATCAAAGTCACTTGTTAGACACTTTCAGATCAAAATGAAGAGTCGGTGGTTTTGATAGATGTGGTCTTCACATCCCTGGAAAGTGACTTATTTATGGTCAAGACTCACACACCAGAGACTCTTAACACATTGCTCAGCAGGTGGACATCCCAAAGGAGTGATTTTTAAGTGAACTAAAAGCCAGTAACTCAAAGCATGTGAAACTGGAGGGTTTACTTGGGGTTTTCTTGGTGCCATGTCCACCATAGCCTCTCTTTTGTTGATGGTTCTTTATTCTCAGGGAGAGGGTCAAATTCTGGGCTCTATCCCAGGTCACTTGAGTGGGAAACCTGCCTTCAGTTCCTCGGAGCCTCTGTGTGGTCTTTCATCTGCTGTGTCCCAAACGGAGCTGGGAGAAAATCCCCTCCCTCCCTCATTTGGAGTGGAGAAGCGGAGGGTGGTGGAGGCCTTCATGGACAGAGCATATTCCTAGACTTGCTCAAAATCAAATCTCTGTGATGAAGGAAGTAAAATGCTTTGACTCTAAGACACTCAGACTCCCATGGTCAATATCACTAAGGAGAATATTGCACGCCGAATAAAACTGATCACGGTTCAACTTTCACGTGTAATACTGATTGTTTAAAAACTATTGATGGATAAATACTTTTAAAATATTTTATTATTCATTATTTGATCTAGGGCACTTAAAAAGCATAAATAATATTCCTAAGTAAATCTTTAAGGGTCAGAATCTATAATAAATATAATGTGGACAAGATATCAAGTTATTTACATCAAATACGACTGATAAAAATACTTTCATTAGGGTGGATCCAAGATGGTGGGCTTAGAGAGAGGTTGCATTCTGTGTTGCTCCAGGACCTGGAATGCAAGAAGTGGGAATACTTGTTCTCTGCGAGTGATTAGAGACCCCCCAACAGCTGCTTCCTTGCAGGAATCATGACCCCCATGCTGTGCAGGTCTCCAGGCCTCAGAGTCAGTGCAGGACTCCTGGCCACTTGTCCATGCAGAATCTCTGGGTGCCTGAGTAAGGCCAATGACATTAGCACCCACGCAGGTCTCCTGGCCACCCACCCTGCACAAGAATATTGGTCTCTGCTCCCACTCAGGACACTGGGCCACAGCCCATGCACAGGAACTCCAGCTACCACACGCATGTGGACCATCATCTACCAACATGGGACTCCCCTCCCGCCATACCCATGTGGACCACCATCTACCAACCGGGTCACCTCCATCTTGGGTCACTGCAACCACTGCCACAGTCAGAGGCTGGGTGTGGACACAGGGAATGATACTTCAATGGGCAAGAGTATTCCATTTGGGATGGTGTTAATGGTGGACCGATAGTTCTGAAAAGAGCTGTAGATGATGGCTGCACAATGCACTTAGTGACATAGAAACGAACACTTAGAAATGATGAAGACAATTTCATGTTATGTATATTTTAACACAATAAAAAAGCAGAAGATTAACTCGGTAGATGAGAATTGATGAGGGGGGGCTCCAGGGAAGACTGAATTGAAGGACAATCCCATGACTTTCCTGGTCACCTTCGGATGAGGAATGCTCTCCCAGGCTCTCACTGCAACACCTATTCCATATAATAATCAAAGCCCGGAGCTTGACTTCAAGTAGAGCCTTCATCTTTCCTGGCCTTTTATATTCCTTTTTCTCCCCACAGGTGCTAATTGGTCTCTGGTCCCTTCAGAGTCAGTGCAGAGCCAGAGAGGAAAAGGAAGAGTTCAGGAAAGGTCTTCACAATCAGCGCTGTCATCAGCAAGCCTCCTTTTCTTTGGGACTGAGGGGGCATCTTCAGAGACACCTGCACACCTGAGGATTTCTCATTTCCAGGTCTATCTTGGATTTATTAAGATAAAGATCATGTGTAAATTTCACCATCTCTCCATTTTATTGTATACAATTCAGTGGCATTTAGTATGCTTGTAAAACCATCACCACCAACTAGTTCAGAGGATGGTTCAGCCTCTGTCACAGAAGTATAAAGCTCTTCATCAGGAGGCACCAACAAGTCATACCGGACAGCCCAGAGTAGGTCCACCATTCTCCCCGGGAGTTTGCTCACTGGGGGAATGCTTCCCTGTATATTTCCATGATCAGAATACCTATAGCTCCCCTTTTTTTTTTGTTTTTTTTAAGGCCTTTTGGATGAATAATATCTGTTTTCTTCTTAATGCTGTCAGGGGCAAAAAATAGGGCAGGCCCTGACAACAACAAGCGTAACATAACAATCTCAATAGCAGTAAACATCAACCTGTGAATAATTGTTTGACTCAGATGAAATTTGTAACCACGAAGTTAGTCAATCCAACAAGTCTAAACCTCCAACATCTTGTGGGACCTTATTAATGATATCTTTAAGGTAATCTAACTCCCTTGAAATAGAATTACTGTTATCACTTATATTGAAGCAACACATATGATTAGACTCCTGACATCCTTTATGATATAATGATAACAGATAATCAATTGCAGCCCGATTGTCAAGAATGGCTTGACAATGTTGTTTTTGTTCTTCATTAAGCTTATTAATGGCCATGGAGGTATGACTAATACTTTTTACTATAGCACAGGCAAGGTTCATAGTGGTTTTATAAGCCCTGAGAGTTAATCCAGGGATATCCACTAAGAAGAATGTCAATGTCAAATTCTGCCTTAGAGAGAAGGTTCACACGGAATCATCACAGTTTTTATCAAGGGGAATAAACCTTTTAAGAATATGTTGTGCAGGATGGTGGCCTATTAAATTCTGTGGGGATGGTAAGAACACAGTTAGTCTGATAAGACACAATGGGTACGATGAGACATTTTTGGAGGGATATAATATCAATCTCAACCAAGCAAGTCCAGAAATTATAATAGATTCTAGAAATCCAGGAGTCTGACTGTACTGAATTTCCCACATCTGGAGTACAACAAAGGATCAACATTATTATTAAGACCAAAGCTTTTACAGAGTTTTGTGTGAGTTTAGCAATCAAAGTAGTGACTAAGTTTTCCAGAGTACATTTGAACCCCATTTGAGCCAACAGCTGTTGAGCTGAGGCTGTTAATGATTTTATATCCCTCCAAGTTACTGGAAGTCTAGTATCTTGGGATCCTCTTTTAATGTTTCTTCTCTTTCAAGGAGAGTGATCATTGTCCTCTTGTTTGGTGGGACCCTCCTCATCCAAGATTAAATGAAACTTGGGAATCAGGTTGTAAAGTCCCTGATGTCCATTCATAATTAATAGATCACATGCATTGAGCTGGAGTCCAAACGGGACCTGTTGTTGTAAGCATAGCAGTCTATCCTTTTCCCGATGTGACCAGGGGCATAGGTTCTTGTCATCCTGTGTCCAGTGGAACCCTATATTTTATCTAAATTTTCGGTAATGACGGTTTGGGAATAAAATGTCTGTTCAAAGCTGATGACCCATTGTGACTGTTAATTTTGTATTTCATATTGAGTGCCTTAACTGTAAATAAAACAATATTTAAAGCATTATTAATATGAGAGAGGCTAGATCCCCTTGTTTGTTTTTGTTTTAAAATGAAAGTTTTAAGAGTACCCTGCACTTGTTCAACCAAAGCTTGTCCAGTAGGATTATGAGGAATTTTATGACTTAAAATTATATCTCATTGATTACAAAATTGTGCAAAAGCACAAGATGTCTGTGCAGGGGTATTATCTGTTTTTCAATGAATAGGCTTGCCCATGGTGGCAAAACAAAGCAATTAATGCAAGCAGATACCTTTATAGACCTATGGGCATTAGCCCAAATGAACCCTGAATGGGTATCAATGGAAACATGCAGAAAGAAGTAAGGATGAAAAGGAGGGAAATGGCTAACATCCATTTGCCAAAGAGCATTGGAATGTAGGCCTCCTGGATTCACAGATTCACAGCACCCATGTAGGTCTCCTGGCCACCCACCTTGCACAAGAATATTGGTCTCTGCTCCCACTCAGGACACTGGGCCATAGCAGGGGCCTGAAAGGGTACACAGTGAGAATAGTTGTTGACTATAGCCCGAGCCTGTTGAGAAGAGATGGAAAACATTTTCATTAGTGATCAAGCATTTTGATGAAAAAAATCCATAGGATTCCACAGCATCTGAAAACAAAGGATAAAAGGATTTCATAGCTTCATCTGTATGAGTGTTACCCTCTGTCAAAAGTCCAGGAATCTTGGGGTGGCTGTGTATATAAGAGAGGGAGATAGGACTTGTAAGATGCTGTAAAAGAGTTTAAAGATGCTGTAAAAGAGTTTATAAAAAGGGACAGTAAATTGGAAACCAAGTGAGGGCATAATACAGCTGTGAAATTATGAGGAACAAGTTTAGTTATATATTGAGAATCTGTAATAATATTTAGAGAAGTAGAAAATAATCTTAGTGTCAGGATAATGGCAGCTAACTCAGCTTGCTGTGGTGAAATTTGAGGTGGGTCTAATAGTTCATTTATCATTAATAAAAACAGATATTATTCCTCTTTGTTTACCTCCATCTGTATACACCATGGTTTCATCTACAAGAGGAACAGTAGAAATTAAGAAAAAAGGGACATGATTAAGGAACCTGATATAACAAAGAGAATTGGCCATCAGAAGGCATGTGAAAAACAACAGGTCCTAAAAAAATCTGTTAATGCAACTTGATAGTAGAGGAAGAACTGTAAGTATTGGAGATATAAAATTTTTTCTTTTTTTATAAGGTATAAAACACAAATGTCCGTGCCTATTAAGGAACCTTGCAAATCTTTTACCAGTTTCCACATATGGTTGAATATAAGTAATGATTTGTTGTGGATTGGAAGGAGCAGAACATGGTAGCCACAGGGATGTTTTGGACACTTGTTTATTTTTGTTTTCTTTGCCCCTACCCAGATGGCCTCCTGAGGCCATGCATAAAGCTATACCATAAAAGTATTTATTACCATGACATTAGTATTTGTGTGCGATAAGCATGTAATTGACTGCTCATTAAAGCAAAAAGTTAAACTTAGGTCTACTTTCAGTAGTTGACAAACGTGTCCCAGTAGTAGTAGTGTCAAGGCTTGAATTTGTACTTTCACTTAGAAGTTCTTGCTGGGGTTTGAACCTAGGGCCTTGTGAATGTGAAGAAAGCACTCCGCTAACTGACCTATGTCTCCATGAATTTTCAGGAGTCCTCACTTAAATGTTTTCAGTAGCAATCAAATCTATTCCAGTGCTCCCTCTAGTGGCATGAAAGGGTTTGTGGGATGAAGTTGACAGGGCTTTTTTTTTTTTTGTACTGGAAACGCTTGTTTCATGGGATCCTGACCCCTCCAAGAGACAAATTCCCCCCCTTTTGTCCTGGCTCAGGGGGTTTTAAGGTGGTGGCAAGCAAGGCAGCTTTATGAGCTACCATTTTAACTAATGTTTTCCAATCATTAGGAACCAGGGCATAACCCATTTTCAACAATTCAATCATATTTAGGGTAAAATTACTATTCACACCACTTTCTAAAACAGTACGCTGTAACTCTTTAAAAACTGCACAAGGTAACTGCTCATGCTCCGGCTGACCAGTGAAATTCAACCCAATGCAACAGCCAGCAAACTATGAAACTCCCCTTCCTCCACAGCTTGTCCCAAACACTCAGTTAACTAGGATCCTGCTGGGGGCAGTATAGCTGCCACAGCCGTGCATGGGGACAAAGGCAGTAAATCCCTCATGGAAGCCATGCATCTGGGAGTGTCAGGAGCAGCTGCAGGCAGCAGCCCGTGCTGCTGAGGTGGCTGCAGCTGCTCTTTCAAAGGAACTGAAGGCCTGGGCACAGAAAGAGAAGAGCTGACAGATTGAGAAACTGAGCCTTTATCAAATACATCTCTACAAAGAAACCAAGCATGTAATACCAATATAGAAGCTCGTGGCTCCTCATGAAGCATTTCACCCATCTTCTCCCAGTCTTTCAAAAATTTTGACCCACTTTCTGGATAAAAAGGACAGCAAGAGCTTATCACTGTCAGCAAGGCAGTAAGATTAGTGTCACTTACAGTATGTCCAGCCTTGAGAAGTAGGAAGGAAAGTTCAGCTGATGACACCATTGAACGTCAGATAGAGAATTAACCATAGCTTACTGATTAGGGATGGTATCAGCTGGTGAAAGACTCACATCTGGGGGCTGGGGATATAGCTCAGTTGGTAGAGTGCCTGCCTCATGTGCACAAGGTCCTGGGTTTGATCCCAGCACCACAAAAAATAAAGACTCATGTCTAACAAGCTCACTCTAGGGGTAAGCTTCCCCCTTCCCTGGTCCCTACCAGGGCTGATTTTGTTGTCCCAAACTGCCTGTGGACTGGGAGGCCCCATGGGGAGAGAACTTTTCTCATGCCCCAAAGTTGGGTGTCATTTGTCATGAATCTTCTTGTGTAGAAACCTGTAAAGAAGCGAACAGAAGAGAGAGAGGCACACATACAATACAGAGGAAAGAAGACAAAGTGGCTTCCCCTCCATGTGGTCACATTTATTATACCCCCAAATTACATGGCTCCCATTACCAATACTACTTAGTATTGCTTACTTAGTATTTCTTTAACCCCCAAGTGTTAGCTAACCAAGATAAGGTACAGGTTTGTAATACAAACACAGAGCCCCTTCTCCCCAAGGACATCACTATAGAAACTAGATAGCCTACCTATATAGTTATCTTAATAGCATCAGGGGGAAACTGCTAGGCATTCAAATTGTGGAAATCACAGCACCATTTACCCACCAGGGAAACTGTTGTATATTTAAATATATCTGTATATTTCCACGGTCAGAATACTGACAAGTCATTGCTTCTTTGGAGACACTGGCTAGAAGGAGAAAGAAAATGCCTATTAGAGCAGTTCCTGGTTCTGCACCTCTTTCTTGTTCCCTGGACCCGAGAAGTCTGGTGCATCAACTTGGGGCTCTTCCTCAACTTCCTCCCTCTGGTTGGTCTGCTTCTGATCTTTCATGTTTCTTCCTAGCTTAGCCCTTTACCTCTGCCAGGAATGAGGCTATTTTTAACCTGGTTAAGTTTGCTTCTCATTCTTAGGTCCAGCTCAGCGGTTTCAAAAGTATTAATGCCATTCCTGAATTTCCCAGACAAAATTGATGATCCTCTGCCTTGTTCAAGAAACAAGAATACAGCTGGTCTTGAAAACAACTTGGGCCTATTACTCAGTCCAGTCAGGAAAAACACCATGGACAACAGTGGGGTCATCTTAGCAAGGGGAAAAGACTTCTCTGATAGGATTTGAAATTGTGTTAACAAGTTTGGGGGAGAGTTCAAGGAAGAGGAGTTTTCTTGTGGAGTGCATGCTGTCAGGAAGCAGAGAATTCTTAGTGTGATCTTACATCTTGTCTAGAAGAGAGAGGACTGGAATAAGGTGAATGTGGAATAGAAGTAAAGCAGCAATGACTTACAGTTAGCCTGGTTAGAGGATGTTGGTGACTTCTTTGAATAAAATTATGTCCAGGTTTTAACCGTGTCAGACATTATTACAGAATAGTTTTTTTTTGTGGGGGGAGGGGGTACCAGGGATTGAACTCAGGGGCACTCCACCACTGAGCCACATCCCCAGCCCAATTATGTATTTTATTTAGAGACAGGGACTCACTGAGTTGCTTAGTGCCTCACTTTTGCTGAGGCTGGCTTTGAACTTGTGATGCCCCTGTTTCAGCCTTCTTAGCCACTGGGATTACAGGTGTGTACCACTGTGCCTGGCCAGAATAGAACTTTTTTTTTTTTGGTTGGTTTTGTTTTGTGTTTTAATTTTGTTTTTCCTGATCACTTGTGCTTTCACACTTGTTGGCTACTGATGCTCTGTGAAACTATTTATGTTTCACAGAGACAACCTGGGATACCTTCCTATCTCTGTTGGGAGCCGCCCTGGACAGGAGCTGTGAACACACCTTCAAGTCCTGAGTAAAGAGTTACTGGACTGGCATGGTGTTGCACCCTGTAGTGCCATTGGACTTGACCTCCACTCGGATAAGAGAGGTGCAGCTCTGGGAGTGGGCGTCACCCGATGGGGTTGAATGACAACTACCTGTTTGTCATAATCCTACCCTTTGCCCCCCCCTCCCTTCCTTTGTGATAGATACAAACAGAACTTGGAACCCAGTAACCAGGCACCTACATTCTAGCAACAGCCTCCTCCCAGCTCATTTGGTGAAATACTTTGAAAGCCAAAACATGTTTTCCTGCTTCCCCTGTGGGTTTTCCTACTTCCCCTGTGGAGGCCGACTTTTTAGGAGGCCACACCGCCAGAGCTCCCCCTATGGCTGTACAGCCCCTTCCCCAGATCCCAACCCCAGGATGGCCCGCAGACGAAACATTATGGTGAGAATGGGGTGCTGGTGGAGATCCTGCTCCCACCACCTCTGCCCTTGTGTGAACAGACAAGGCAGGCCCACACGCAACAATCGAGGGCCACTGAGGCAGAGACCATCCACCACCGTGAGTAACCCTGAAATGCCTTCCTCCTGAGTTTGGGGGAACAGGGAGCTGAGGCAGGATCAGCTACTGGGAGATTGTGAGGCAGATGGCTTGTCATGGTCATCCCCAGGACAGGGCTGGAGAGAGGATTGGGAGTGTCCAGGCCTCATTCTGGCCCTCAGTGCCATCTCCTGTCATCCTAGGGTAGAACTCTGGGACACAGGGTCTGTGTGAGATTTGGGGAGATCACCACTAGGGCAGAAACACCCTGAACAGAGGCTAGGCAGGACCAGGGGCTCCCTGCCAGCTTCCAGGCTCTCTGTTTACCTGCTCTCCACAGGATCTCATGGAGGACAGCAACAGGGGCTTCCAATCAAGAGCAGTGCTGGAAGGGCCAGGGCCAAGCACCAGTGGGAACGAGCTTGGCCTCAGGGTGAGTGTGAGAGCAGGGAGGCCTGCACAGACCAGGCCAAGAGAAGAACAGAAGACGACACTGAGCCCAGACACCACCCTGAACACATTCCTTGTGGGGCGGAAGGTGGAGGGGCAGAGTCCTGAACCATAAGGAATCTGAACACCAACTCCTCACCCATCCCCATCTTCTCTGCCAGCGTTGGCCTTGGCCACATGCAAGGTCACTGTCTCCATATTAGACACAACATCACAACAGCAACACTGACATTCTTACTTCTTTTCTCTGAAGATTTTGCATTCCACCCTTCAGCTGATTATAACTCCTAGACCCAGGTGTCTGGGTGGCAGTGGACTGCCTGTCCTTCCACACACTCTCCAAGTCTTACACATTAACAGGATTAGTAGGGGGACATTTAGCCAAAATATCCAGGGAACTTTTCTACATGGTCTATTTCTATGTCACTTGCTGTCTCAAGGAACACACCCCACAGTCTCAGAACAGGTGTTGGGGGCCCCAGCACTTTACCACCTTCCAGGTGGACTCACTTTCCACAGCCACTCAGTCTTTCCCAGCATTGGGACCTGACCTCATTCCCTCCTGAGCCACTTCGACAGCATCACAGAGAATGATGGGTGTCCTCACACAAAACTATCTGGGATGAGCCTGTTTTCTCACCTCCAGAAGGTGATGTGCTTGTGGGACTCAGGGGATAATGCTCCTAATGCACAGAGCTGCCACCTCTTGTCATATAACAAACTGGCCTGAAGCTGCTGAGGTAGCCAACTATTCCCTCAGCAATTCCACTTGAACTCTGCCAGCCATTGTGGTGCTGGGGCTCTCCTGTCCCCCTCTGGGACAAACCCCTTAGGGTTTTGCACTGAACACCATCCCCAGATACATCTGGTGGGTCACACTTCAGCCACTGACTTTCCTCCTCCATGTCCCATTCCAGAAGGGAGAGGTGGCTACAGAGGTAGATGATAGCAGCATGTTATATATGTTCCAGGCACAGTCCCCAGAGAGCTTGGAGGACACCCTAGAGCCAGACTGCCTAGATGAGGACTCCTCTTTCACATCCAGCACATCCAGTTCCTCCACCAAAGAGGAGACGGACGTAATGTGGAGAAGGTAAGCCCTGTGCAGGGTGACAGGGTCATATACAGCTGTGAGTCCTGGAACTGGCCCTGCACCTTTCTGAGCCCAGCCTGCTCCTTTGAACAGTGGGGTGACAAGAGTATCAACCTCATGGTTAGAAAGGCCAGGGCTCTCAGGCTTCTGTTCCCCACCCCCCATTCCTCTAGGGTGATGTCCTCACTCATTGGAATACAGCGGCTTCATAATCCTGCTCGGAACATCCATTGCCATGTCTATGTGACAGACCATGACTTGGAATATGAAGACCACCACATCCAGGGCTTTATTGAAAACCCAGAGCCCATGGAGGGAAAGGCCAAATGTGAGAAGGTCTGGGTGGTGGCTGTGAGCATATGGGGATGGGACGGGGCTGGACATGCAGAGCACATCTTCCAGAAACAGAGACGGGGCAGAAACAATGAGAAGCACAGCTGTCATTCTCTGCATGCATTCTGGGGACACTCTCAAGGACTGGGTTTGTGTGTGGATCTCTGAGGAAGGCAGTGGAAAGCATTTTGTCCCTGGAGGGAACATGGATAGTTGGCAACTTTTACTCTGCTTGCACATGCAGGGCCACTTCTGGTGACTGAGGAGACAACTGGCCAATTTCCACCATCTGGGAGAGCACTACAGCTGGAAACGCCTGAAATGTCATCTCCAGGCCAGCAGCTCCTGGTGACCCCTCCGCCAGCAAAACCCACTGAGCTCCCCCCTATACCTATTCCCACACCAGAGGTGCTCTTGCGCTCTCCTGGCATTTATTTTTTAATTATTTTTATTGTATGTATTTACTTATATTTTTATTAATATTAGCTTTTTCAAATTAAATATTTATTTGTTAAAGATTCAGTTTATTGGCATGAAGTACATTCTCAGAACACTGTACCTATCTCCACTATGTAGTTCCAGAACATTTTCCTGAATCTGGTACCCACAACCACTCCCATCTCCCTTCCAGCAACCCTTCATCATTCTAGCCCTGGGATATGCCTAGTCTGCATTTTTCAAATCAGTGCAGTCTCATTTCTCTTTGGTCACATAATGTTGGAAGGGACTGATGAAGTTTATTTAGCAGGGTAAATGACATACAGGTCTATGTTTATTGGCTTTTTAAATTTTCTGTTGCTGGGTGTTGAACCCAGGGGTACTCTCTACCACTGAGCTATATCCCTGGTCCTTTTTAATTTCTTATGTCATGTCTTTTGGTCATAGCAAGGAAAAGCCTAAAATGCACCAGTTCCCTCTTATCAAAGATTTTGCTTTTCCATGAGCATACAATATATTAAAATATAATCTACCATCATGTATATCTAAGATCAAATAAAATAAAGTGATTTCACTTTCTATTCTTTCACTTATCCATGAATTACCTATGTAATTCAAGATTGTAGACATAAACAATGTATACTTTTAAAATTACTCACCATTCTGAATAGAATATGATGAAATCAGGCAATATCACTCTCTGTCCTAACCATAAAGTGAATCATACCTTTGTCCAATGGATTCATGCTCTATAGGCTACCCACCCATCAGTACCTTGACAACCATTAGGCCATGAGATAAACTGGAGGGAATTGCACTGTTTCATGCATCCACTGAGGATGTTGGAACAGATCCTCCAGCATAAGGGGTAACTGTGTTCCTAAAATTAACAATGACCTCTTCATACTTTAATTAGTATTTGAAGTCTTTCTTTTGGAACCAAAATAATATTGGAACATGACTTTCTTAAAGAAAATTTCTTTTTCATAGGTTTCTCTGATACCTCTTAGCTGTGGAGACACAGGGTTATCTCATTTCTACTTTTCCACATAAATCACTTCTTCTGCTGGGTACCAGGACACTGTCTGCCTTTTGCCCCATTCTCAACTCTGTGGAGAAGGGCATTCACTCACATCTCTCCCTCTTCCTGATGAGCTGCATACCACACTAGAATGTCTCCTTCAGTTCACTGTCCATGACCCCAGAAGATGGTTCCAGCATTGGTTCTGACTTTCATCCTAGGCATAATTTGATTGAGACTCTTCACACCTGTGTTCATGAGAGGACAGCAGAAAGATAATTGGACAGAGTTTGTGTGTTCATTCTCAGATCTCTGCTCTATGGGTTTCTACTGGCATGTTTTAGTGACTGGAGGTGCAAGGAAATCACTTGATCTAGCAGAGATTTACAGGATGGAGAGTGCTCAGGGATTATGAGAGACTGGGATTTACCCAACTGTGTGGCACTAGGAGACAGTCACTGTAATCAAAACATGTTTCCCCCAAATTAACAACACTGATCCATGCTCACATACATGAAATATATATTAAACATCTAAAATATATATTAAATACCATCTAATTGTATGGAATAACATTAGGCATATCAATTGAAGAAATTCCCTTTGCCAAATCCAATCCTTCTTTGGGAAAATTAATAATTTCTGTGATTCATCAATATGAGCTGGTATTTTAGGGGAAAAGTAGAGAAAGGCAAATAGGCTTTCCAATAACAACAAAATAATTTCCAAAAAAATAAATCTGCATTCCTATTAGAAGGCTTTTGCTAACAGGAAAAGAAAGTAACTTCAAGAATGCTTGAAGAAGAACTGTTACAAGACATAAATATACTTTCCAAATTAGAAAATGAACAAAGACAAATGCAAATAAAAATTGATAATGTAGGATCCAAGGCTCAAAGTTCCAATTATTTAGGGAGGTAAACATGATTTTTTTCTTTTCAAAAATTGTTCTATTTAGTTATACATGACACAGAATGAATTTTGATTCATTGTACACAACATAGTCACACCATACGTTCAGTCATACATGTACCTAGGGTAATGATGGGAGGGGAGGGGGCATGGGGACAGGAAAGATGGTAAAATTAGATACACTTAATTTTTTTAAATTTGTATTATTGGTTGTTCAAAACATTACATAGTTCTTGACGTATCATATTTCATACATTTGATTCAAGTGGATTATGAACTCCCATTTTTACCCTGTATACAGATTGCAGAATCACATCGGTTACACATCCACTGTTTTACATATTGCCATACTAGTGTCTGATGTGTTCTGCTGCCTTTCCTATCCTCTACTATC